GATGGTCATTCAGGCATTTACGACAGATGGCTTTTTTGTGATTTTCATCAGTTGGTACAGCAAAGGCTGTGAAACTGTATTAACTTTTATCAACTGTTACGCAAAGCCCATACAAAGTCCAGCTGGCCGCTAAACTACTAACCCCAAAGCTAGAGTAGTGTGGTGGGGGGCAGGTTTAAATTCCATAAGAAAAAAGTTAAAATAGGCGACAACTGCTTCAATTCACATCCTGCCTACTTCATTACTCATAATCACGATACCATTGCTTATATGATGCTATATAAGCAATATGTACATAAACAGAACAACAACCAAAGAGTTAAGATTTTGAATACTGAATAAATGTCTTTGTATTCAACATCAGAAAGATGTAAACATTTTCTAACCTTTCACTATCTTCAAGAGCTTTCTTTTCATCTTCTGTCTGTTGTTTGTCGATCTCCAGCTCTCTTTGCCTACGCTCCTCTTCAAGTTTCTCTCGTTTGCGCATTTCTTCTTCTACACGTCGCATTTCACGTAATGCTGCAGCCACCTGAATCATGATAACATGTCCTTGATATTTTTTTTTCTAAAATCTATAATGCAGGGTCTCAACAAAAAACTGTATTAGTCCAAAATTGGTCATTTTTAGTTAGTGTTGCCATTCTTACACATTGAACTTGTGTGCATAAGGGGGTTGTTGCAAAAACTATATCAATTTAGAAGAAAACGAGTAGCGAGACATAGGTGTTCTTGTACTGCCTAATTTTTCAAATAAAAACAACCTATGGTCATTTCTCTTTTTTTCATTTCAGTAAATGAAAACTACATACATACCTGAAACTATATTCCAAAATCATAACACATGAAATATGTTGATACAAAATAAAAATAAGATGAAATATTAATTGGTTCAAATGCTGAAAAGATTCTTCTTGATTTCCCAAAAAGATTAATTTTGGACTTCAAGTCATTTTTTATAGAAACCCCTCATTCTGATCATGAAATTTACATTACAACATTAAACACGCCATCATCTGTAAGATTTGAGGTTTTCACAGCGGTGAGTATGAAGATTTCTGTCTTCTGGGTTGTTGCGCTGTGTAGTCTGGTCGATGTTAACCGACGTTTCAGAGGTCATACTGCCTCCGATATCAGGGCGATTCATCGCCCTGATGACGGAGGCAGTATGACCTCTGAAACGTTAGTAAACATCGACCAGACTACACGGCGCAACAACCCAGAAGACAGAAATCTTCACACCATCATCTCTCTTATCACAATTCACTACAATGTATCAATGTGCAGAAAGTGTAGAGTGTTTCGCAACAACGTGGGTTCATGATGAACGCAGAGCCAACTTCCAAAATTCTGCATGGAAATTAAACAAAAATATGCATGAGTTTAATGAAACACCTTCATCAAAACACTTAGAATAATATTACTATTGCTGATAATACATCAAGACTCACTTCTCTTGCAAAGACACCACGAAGATGTGACTGAATAACTATGGCTGCTCTTTGCTGTCGAAGGAACAGCAATCGTTGCTTCCAACCACGATATGCGTGCTGTATTCGTAAAGCAGCTTTACGACGCTGGAGGAATTCTGAAACAGATCCACAAGAACCAGAACACTTTTTAACTGAGTAAAACAATTCTCTGTATGTCGCCCACGCGATGATTTTGGTTTGCAATTTTTTCTGAACTGATCTTATCTTTCAAAGTGACGTATAAAAATGACCAAATTTATTGTTGACATCTGTTTGTTGTAGATGCCAGGAATTTATACACAAATCATTTTTACTCCAAACATTAATCTGTACATATCAGTTAGAACTGTAGCCTCACCTGTCCTAACAGTGTAACCGCGCCAGAACTTCTGGATTTGTATTGCCATGGCATGAACCACCTGATTCCGCCCATCTTCCAGTGGTTCGTGTATACAGCTCCGAACGAACACTTTGGTTTTACCAATTTGCCATTCAGTACTGGGAACACCCTGTTGCTTTATTAGTGCTCTGAAACAAATTAAATTTCTTAAAATTTATAATAAATAAATTTTTGAACCGTTTCTGATGATACCTCATGTGTACACTTTTATGAACTCCAAGCTCTAGCAGAAGACAATTTATGTGCACTAACCCTTGGTATGTCTGTATTTCGCTGCATTTTCCTACGTGAAATAAAGTGTTTTGTTTTCAAGAAAAGCAGTGGGCATGAAGTATGAATATTATTATTGCTATCATGACAGCTTGAAACTTTCTGATCTATTTTGAATCCAAATTTTATAGTTGATCAATCTTCATCCTAAAAAGAAATTCTAAATGTTTTATATAAGCATTAATCTAAGTTTCAAGAATTAATTTTTATGTGTACCAAGTTTTCTCACCTGGCAGCATCAGTCTCACAAGCGGGTAATTTGCCGCGATATAAGCACCTGTACCGCTGGATAAACTCAGTCAACGTCATATGAACAGGATAACCTTCCTTGCGGATTCTGATGATATCAAGCATGCCCAAATACTTCAACTGGTCAAGCACCAACTTCTCATTGTAGTTGTTTGGTGCTTTCTTCATGTTCGGTTTGATGCATCGCACATACCTGCATTTATGTCACATTAATTTAGTCTACTGTCTTCATGTTCCGGTGCTCTACTTCATTTCCACAAATAAAGCACCAGGAACTTGACACATTGGTATAATCATTACATACAAGAAATAATTATCAAAGCAGATGTTATTCTGGTTTTAATATATACTTTCCCTAACAACCAGAATACAACTACAGGAATACCTCGGAGATATCGCGGGTTCGGTTCCAGACCACCGCAATAAATCGAGTCACACAAATTTTTTGGTTTCCCAGAGCACATAAAAGCTATGTTTACACTATACTGTAGTCTATTAAGTGCACAATAGCATTATGTTTAAAGAAACAATGCGAGAACATTGCGAGAATTTCCAAAATGTGACACACAGACGCGAAGTGAGCACGTGCTGTTGGAAAAATGCCGCTGAAAGACTTGCTCGACGCAGGGTTGCCACAAACCTTCGATTTGTAAAAAAAAAAAGCAATATCTGCGAAGCACAATAAAGTGAAGAGCTATAAAATGAGGTATGCCTGTACTAGTTTATAAATTTATGTATACTTACATGTTCTGATTCTACAGTCATCTCAACCTTAAAACTATTTAGGGCAATTTAAAACGAACGTGGCTATGCACATATTATCAATGCCTCTTATTCTATTTAGTATCTTAAGATGTAGGAATGCACACGAGGAGAATTCTAATGGTAAAAAAATATATATATATCAGTACATATAGTACGTATGCACACACATACATTCTGTGTTTGTGTCTGTCTGTGTCTCTCCCTCTGTACGTCTCTCGCAGTGCCTGTGTCTGTCTGTGTCTCTCCCTCTGTACGTCTCTCGCAGTGCCTGTGTCTGTCTGTGTCTCTCCCTCTGTACGTCTCTCGCAGTGCCTGTGTCTGTCTGTGTCTCTCCCTCTGTACGTCTCTCGCAGTGCCTGTGTCTGTCTGTGTCTCTCCCTCTGTACGTCTCTCGCAGTGCCTGTGTCTGTCTGTGTCTCTCCCTCTGTACGTCTCTCGCAGTGCCTGTGTCTGTCTGTGTCTCTCCCTCTGTACGTCTCTCGCAGTGCCTGTGTCTGTCTGTGTCTCTCCGTCTGTACGTCTCTCGCAGTGCCTGTGTCTGTCTGTACGTGTGAGTGAGTGTATTTAATAACATTATAAATAAATGAATAAATCAATCAACCAGCAATATTAATTAAATGTGTTTGGCCCAATACAAGCTGTTTTGAGTTTAAGTACTTAATTAACATTTACTTACAAATTTAATAATACTTGTTTGACATAACTATAAGATAGTCTTGTTACATATCGCCCCATTATTGTTATAAATTATTTTTACTTAGGAGCTGCATAAGACTACAATGTGCAAGCAGTCCGTACTACCCACTGGATAAAATAACAGGTGCCAATATGGATAAAAATCCTCTCTATCACTTAATTAGAGAAATCGACCATAACTTACACATACACCAAGCGACATAAATATGACATTAACAACAACAGCAACAATAATTATAATTTAGGCACACCCTAAATTCTGATTAGTGTTCTGATAATAGTAAGACAGACAGCTACTAAATTTTTCCATGCCCAGTTGTAGGTATAGTAAGTGCACAGCGCACTTACGTATTAGGGATTGAAGAATTACGCTATACACTCCACTTAAAGAATTTTAATTGCAGACACCGATATAACTACACGCAATGAACCTTTGTTTTTAAATACCCAAGAATACTAAAGAAAGAACTCACCATGGATTGGTAGCTTGCAGCACATCAACAAGTGCCTGGAGTTGGTGTCTGAACGTGTCGCTGACTGTCGGCTTGCCCTTGCTCGTCCCTCTCGGGACAGTGGCCACACTAGCGCTACCCATCCGAGACACTGTGGAGCCAAGAAGGTCCTGGACAGAAGGGAAAAGCAGAGAACCAATTAATCTTAAAAAAAGGACATTACAAAGATGTAACCCATGAAATATGTTCACGAACTCAAAAAAGCAAACATACGATTAAAAATTATTTACTTTTATTATACGAATGAGTTATGCATTGCACCCTTCAAAAAAGACAAAATAATTGACCATAGTGTTTTAAGATATTAATTGTCGTGCCGATGGCTTCCCATATTTCAGATGTAGATGTCTTACGTTAAAATATTTACTTCGTACATTTCTGTGGTGTTATTAGATCTTAGCTCTATATTTATTTCCAATGAATACTTTAATATAAGCTGTTATTTTTACACATGTATTTCAGCTTAAACGTGACATCATCAGAACTGCATCAAAATATATCAGAAATAAATTCTGTCATTGCCAATTATTCACGACCAAATTCATGTGACTGTATTGGTAATGACAATTTTTTTTTCTTGATATACCATAATGCAACTACAATGGTAGTATTTTTAACCAAAACATATCTATAAAAAAACAGCTTTTGTTAAAGTGCATGTAAAAATAAACATAAAGTTTAAAATTTTACATTAAAGGTCAAACATTCAAATCTGAGCCGAGCGATATGAATTTAGTAGACAGAAAATAGTACTGAATAGAGACATAAAAACATTTAAAATGTTTCTTAAGTTAATGAGCATTCAGATAAAGTTTATAGTTTCAAGAACATGTCACTGTTGATCTGCACACATGAAAAATTCTGCCCTGGTGATCAAACAAATACAATTTTGGCCATGTTTAACATTTTATACTACCATTTTACTTGAAATCCAGTACTAAATTGTCATATTCTATTACAGACATAATGGAAATAAATAATAAGTAATAAATTTATTATTGAATCCTCTTAATAAAATGATAGTTTTGGAAAATATCAACCAATCAGTACAGTTAATTAATTTCATTATAAAATTTATGTATTTTCCAGAACAGGTCATTTGAACTGAATAACGTTGCAGACAAAATATGTCTGTAGTCAGTGGCATAAACACGCTTTTCCAGTGCGTAAAGGGATATTAAATTATAAGGGAACTTAAAATATATTTTAGTGCAATGACATAAAATGCACAAGGATTTATGTTTATTGTACAATTTTCAATTAATTCTGAACACCAAGTGTAAACATTATTAACCGTTACATTGCGGGACAACATCCTACCTGGTACATCGTTAGTTCTTGGACAAACTCATTCGTAGAACGGCTCATGAAGTCAAAAAAAACATCCTGCTGCACGTCACGATTCTTATCAACAAAACCATCAACACTGTACGTCACACAGCCAGCGTAATGCTGTATACCAAATTCCTTTTCCCAACGGCGTCTATCATCACCTTTTACATAATTCGGATGTCCATCAAATTCTGCGTGCAGGTTCGTGAGGTATGCCAGGTCTGAACCCTGCAACATAAGTATAAACACTTTGTTTCAGAATTTATACCTATGAGGTTATATTTTGAACTAAAGACGTACAAAGCCCCTCCCATACCCCAATTTCCACTGCGCTTTCAAACATAAACACCAAAATAGACAGGAAACTTAGAAAATTGTAAGTGTTATTGTTACACGGAGTGTACATAACGTAAAAACACAGACGTCATCAAGAGATATAAGTTTCATATGCAAAATTTTTCAATATTGTTTATATTTAACAAAATACGCAAACAAAATTATAATTATATGCGGTGTAATCAACTCTGAAACAATTAAGTTTCATATGCAAAATTTTTCAATACTGTTTATATTTAACAAAATACGCTAACAAAATTATAATTATACGCGGTGTAATCAACTCTGAAACAAAATATTTTTATAATAAATGAACATAACATCACCTTAGGCATGTGACACTGCTCTGTTAATAACTTCAGGATACATCTTGGGGGCTTCTCCACCAGCTCCAGGCATGCTGTATTGTCTGTGAACTGGATATGAGAGAATTCAATTTCCTCTTGTCGATACTGAAACAGGAATTTCATGCGTTATAAAGCAGTTTCTCTCTACGATTCCAAAGTCTACGATGGAACGAATAATGACACTATCAAATATCATCTCTACAAGATTTTAAAATTGAACAGAGAAGACAATTAAAAGTACTGTAATTAGAACATATAAAACAAAGGCACACAGGAAAAGAACAGTTCTCAGAATAAGGGCCGCATGATATCGAGCAGAGAAAATGAGGAGTATGCTTAGACGAACCCAAATTAAAGATAACGAGTCCGCAGATCCAGTTTAAAGACAGTACCGAGTGACCAAATCAGCTTTAATGTTGAATAATATATCATATTATGCTGGTTAATCATAACTTTTGCCCTTGGGGTGAGAAATCACCCCTAAAGGCGGATGAACCGGAGGGATCAACGGCATAGGATGCGGAAGACAAGGGGAATCCACCGCATTAAAGATCCTCATGATTTCCCAAGTATCAGCAGGTAAAAAAAAAAAAAAAAAGAGCTGCTGACAACCAATCATAGGATGGATTACGAAAGAAGAAATGTCAGGAGTATCCGTACGCAATTAATTGTTGATTTATATTTGAAATTTTAACAGACGTGGAGTATAAATTTAGAATCGCATGATGTGACATAAAGAAGCAAGCCGAAAAACATTTTTAGACCACCATACCAATTTCTCGTTAAATGGGACCCGGTAATGTTTCTGAACTTGTAAATATGGAACTTATTTCTGGCAATAGGATTTATATCAAGTGCTTCCCTCAAATCTAGTTTGTGAATTAATATATTTTCCACATTGCATTCTACAATTAAATAAATTAAAAGAAGTAACAATAGCCTGTGTATCAAATAAGATCATCAATTGACGAAATAAAGATCAAGAACTTCTAGAAATATAAGTTACTGTTCAAATAATATTATATTAATAATAACGTAACCCTGAGTTCTTTCATGACATTTTTTTTTGTAGTGTTCTGTCTGACGACAGGTCCATATGAACAGGATCCTTCCATCCTTTTCTCGGACTGGGACCTGTTCACATACGTTCTTGGCAGATGATCCAGAAGTGGTTTGCCATTGCCTTCTTCTGTGTGTGAATGGAGTAATTGTTGGGATGCCACGGAGGAAAACTCCGTGTTGCCTAGACCACGGCCTTGCCCAACACAAGTTATAAATTCGGGCACCGCCGGGAATCGAACCCGAGACCCCAGGATTACAAGGCCAGCGTTCTGACCGCTAGACCACCGTGGCGGCTTCATGACATACTCAACCAAAATTCATCTGCCCCAGTTAATGAAATTAAGTCGGTCCTTCGTCACCGACACTCTATGGTCAGCCATATACCAGTTATGGTGCCCTGTCTTTGCGATCTGGAGAACTAGCTATAAAATATTAAATTCAGGAAGTACCTAATGAATTTTTAAGAACTTTAAGATTAATCATATGTGGCCTACAAACTATGTAACTTACTATTTCCTGCTCCAGTGCAAATACATAATGATTAAAAAACTTATGCAGCTTCTCATTGGTGTAGTTGATGCAGAGCTGTTCGAACGAGTTGATAGCAAAGTTTTCAAAACCGAAGATGTCAAGAACACCAAGAAAGCGCGTGGAATCTTGGCCTGGGTTGGTACATGTGTTGATGTGATTTACCAACCACGCAAAGGTGCGCGAGTACAAGGCTTTCGCCATGGCGTGTCGGTTCTCCTTTGCCTGCGCACAAAACATCCTTCAATAAGCATTGTGTAACTACTGCGATTATTTCTGTCCACACCTTCAATTGCTTCAAGTTCCACTCTCCATTCTTCTGCAAAATTCAAGCTTTTGTGCTATTTTAAAAGAGTTTCCACTTGACTTCACTTCACGTCAGCTGAGGCAAAGAGCTTTTATGTTTCAACAACAACGATAACAGCTGTGGGGGAGCAAAAGAGGGGCAGAGCGTTAATAAAAGCCAAGCAAACACATGACTGAGGTCAGACCTAACTCTTTGAACGCAATGGGAGGAAAATCTACAGTTGTCACAACTAATTAATTATTCCATGCAAGTGAATACATCTTTCATTTATTTAATGTATTCAGTGCTATATAGTCTGTGTTATTACCATCATTACATAAACCATAAACAGGGCACATAATTATATATAACCTATTTTTGAACCTCAAGACGTAATATTTAGATTAAAATTAGCAGATTTGCCGATTCAGTATTGCTCATATATTTCCAATTATCATTAAAAAAAATATTTTTTTTTAAATATACAACTACAGATCATAAAACATTTGAAAATGTGTAATAATTCTAGTGCCTGGGAAAAAACTACATATAAACAGAAATGTGCTTCGAGATAAATTTAAGAAAATAAGAGGATGACTGACAGAACTGAAGGAAGCCACAGAAGACATCTGTTGAGACAGCCATCTTCCAGAGAAAGATTCAAACCACAGAAAAAAAAAAAAGTCATGACACACTAATGGCATCGGAAAATTCAACAAAACGAGACAGAATGAATAGCTGTTGGTAATGAACACCCTACAAGTGAAAAATATGGTCAATACAAACAGTAAATTGTCTTTCATTCTCGCACCCATGCCTCAGTGCCTCACCTCCTGAAGTTTCAGAGGTATCTCGGTGATGTTGCCTCTGACGTTAATTTGCCTCAGTAGTGCAACCTGAACCAGGTCCTCCATCTGAAGTCCCAGCAGAGACGCCACCGTCTGCAGAACTTCTTGGTCCTCGTCCGTCAGTTTACACCTCTCCCCATCTATATCCTAAATTGGCGCAACAGAAAGCCACGTTTAACGGACAAGCGGAGGACGAAAAGAAACAAAATTTCGATTACCCAATCAACCAAAAGGGAGACAAAGATGATTTAATAATCCACGACACTAAAAACTGAAGACTAACAAGCGCACTGATCTATTGAAAGCTATTTTCTGCGTCTTTTAGCCTTTTCCTACCGTGTATCAATATTTCATTTATACACTAATTATCTCTCACAGTCAGTTGTTTATTAACCGACTGTTGGCGACATTTCTTTTCGCGTTTCTCTGGTCGTTTGTCAGTCGATCACACGGCACCGCTGGCAATGAATTACAAAATGCTTTGTCTGACACCTGCTGTCACTTGTCTGAACCATGTGAAACAGAACACAATCACACAATCCCCTGGATTTCTTTGCTGAGGAAAATTCTGATGAACTGACTGGAATGAGTCAAAAACATAACCTCAAATGTTTATTCCACTGCTATATTGAAATTCTTAAACAAACAAAACTGTTCTTAAATTTTATCATACAGAAATTCTTATGCTCCTTTTACGTGCGTTTTTATGTGATGCTAAACACAGGGCTGCCAATTTTTATAATGGTCAGTGTTGCTCCTTTACAAAATCACCAGAAATTTTCAGTCACAAATTTGTGGTCATGTACGTGCTTCCGAAGATAAAAATATGAGGAGGGGGAAAAGTAGACTTGCAAATACTTTAAAAGTTAATAAAATAAAATTTTTAACAGGAAAAATCCTCCGAATAGCACATTTCTACGAAGTTTTCTTAAAAGTGGCTACTCTTTATAGAGACGCGCGTACAGTAAGCATTGCGCCATAAGCATTTTCTTTCAGATTCCAACCTACGACTAGTCACGTATTTACTTTTGGAAGTAGTTCCAGGAGAAGATCGCCTCCTGCATTTGCCAGGCATTAAGCTTAACAGAAAACAATCCACAAATATAATTACAAAACTTCTGTACCCTAAATACCAACCACTAACCTCAAACCCCATATTTCCAAGCCACAGTATGGCGGACAGAACGCAGAATATGCCATCACACATCTCAGACGGAATATGGAGGACATTGAAAGCCAGTCTCAGGGCATCGAATTTCTTTGCGTCACTAACTCCATCAATTTTGATGCAACCGGACTGATTCAGGTACTTGTAGAAGTCTGCAGGCTTCAGTTTCAGCTGGTCTGCCAATTCTTTGTTGCTCTGAAACAGATTTTACGAAAAAGCTGTCATTTTTGCCAGCATCCTGTGTTACGTCTTTTTTCTTTTTAACGTGTTGTCTACAACTCAGTCAAACAATGATAGCAGAGGATTTCACGGTCTTCATATTTACTGGAAATAAGATGACTTGGGCCAATTTTAAAGCACTAACCAGCATCCATCGAGAGTTTTAATCACATATTCACTTTAGCTGATTCCTTACATTGAATTACATTACATTACGACTACTAAACTTTAAATTTCAATATATGTAATACACCATTTTGACACGATCGTGGAACTGACCTTTTAGAACCAACACTCATATAAATAACATCTAATAATTCAGTCCGTACCTCAAAGAAAACAACACTTCTCCAACGGAAGATCAACTGGTTAACGCTGTTTAAGGAAATAATCCCTCTTTACACTGAGAATAATATGAAACCCATACGTAAAAAATTCAGAGCAGGTGGTACATATAATTCCCACCGGGCTTTAAAGGGTTAGTAACAACATATTATATTTAAAGTAAAAATTCAAGGGATAAATCAGCTACTGTTAATTTTTAAATTATATTTGAATAAGCTCTTTGCAACTGTTCATCTTTGCTGCTTTGGATGGTCATTAAGATGCATTGCGTATGAAAAGGTGGAAATAAACTGGTGGATAAATTATTTGTGGTATTCAATTTGCAAAAGAACACTCCAGGAAATCTAAATACTGACAGACCAAAACAACTGCAAATCATCGTGCGACTCAAATACGGTATTATAATACATAATGACAAGACACTTCCGGAGGAGAGTCCAGTGTCTGAAACATCTGAAAAATCCTACACGGACTTCTTATATCATACTTATTGAACTCAAGAGTATTGTATCGTTCTGTATGTTACACTAAAGTTGAAAGTTATCCACTCTGAAAAATTGAAATCGTCGAATTAAGTACGTGATTTGGTATGACAAGACCGTACCTTGGCTCCTTCGACAAGTTGGTAGAAAACGTGGTAGTTCCGCTCGCCAGGACTTTGAAATGTGATCCGTGACTGTTCTAGCAAATAATCCTGAATGATGCAACCTTTAATCATCCACTTGTTGTCAAAACAAACTTGCATAAATTTACCAAACCTGCTAGAGTTGTCATTGCGAACAGTCTTGGCATTTCCTAAAAAAGGAAACACAAATTTTATAATTAAATAAAAGCGATATTTTAATAATATTCTCTATTTACATTTAACGATGCTATCTGTGTCTCAGATTACATAACATCGAATTAGCATTCGATAATTAATTAGTATCGAGAGTTTTAATCACATATTCACTTTAGCTGATTCCTTACATTGAATTACATTACATTACGACTACTAAACTTTAAATTTCAATATATGTAATACACCATTTTGACACGATCGTGGAACTGACCTTTTAGAACCAACACTCATATAAATAACATCTAATAATTCAGTCCGTACCTCAAAGAAAACAACACTTCTCCAACGGAAGATCAACTGGTTAACGCTGTTTAAGGAAATAATCCCTCTTTACACTGAGAATAATATGAAACCCATACGTAAAAAATTCAGAGCAGGTGGTACATATAATTCCCACCGGGCTTTAAAGGGTTAGTAACAACATATTATATTTAAAGTAAAAATTCAAGGGATAAATCAGCTACTGTTAATTTTTAAATTATATTTGAATAAGCTCTTTGCAACTGTTCATCTTTGCTGCTTTGGATGGTCATTAAGATGCATTGCGTATGAAAAGGTGGAAATAAACTGGTGGATAAATTATTTGTGGTATTCAATTTGCAAAAGAACACTCCAGGAAATCTAAATACTGACAGACCAAAACAACTGCAAATCATCGTGCGACTCAAATACGGTATTATAATACATAATGACAAGACACTTCCGGAGGACAGTCCAGTGTCTGAAACATCTGAAAAATCCTACACGGACTTCTTATATCATACTTATTGAACTCAAGAGTATTGTATCGTTCTGTATGTTACACTAAAGTTGAAAGTTATCCACTCTGAAAAATTGAAATCGTCGAATTAAGTACGTGATTTGGTATGACAAGACCGTACCTTGGCTCCTTCGACAAGTTGGTAGAAAACGTGGTAGTTCCGCTCGCCAGGACTTTGAAATGTGATCCGTGACTGTTCTAGCAAATAATCCTGAATGATGCAACCTTTAATCATCCACTTGTTGTCAAAACAAACTTGCATAAATTTACCAAACCTGCTAGAGTTGTCATTGCGAACAGTCTTGGCATTTCCTAAAAAAGGAAACACAAATTTTATAATTAAATAAAAGCGATATTTTAATAATATTCTCTATTTACATTTAACGATGCTATCTGTGTCTCAGATTACATAACATCGAATTAGCATTCGATAATTAATTAGTTACTAATTAGTACAAACCAATTTTTTTTTCGAAGTTCTTATTCCGCCAATGGTAACAGAACATTCAGCTCAGTGCTCTCACTAAAGCCTTTGACTTTAAAAAGCGTAAGATGCACATTCTACTGGTACAAATTATTATTGCGTCTTATTATTATTCAGTGTTCTGTCTGACGACAGGTCCATATGAACAGGATCCTTCCATCCTTTTCTCTTCTCGGACTGGGACCTGTTCATATACGTTCTTGGCAGATGATCCAGAAGTGGTTTGCCATTGCCTTCTTCTGTGTGTGAATGGAGTAATTGTTGGGATGCCACGGAGGAAAACTCCGTGTTGCCTAGACCACGGCCTTGCCCAACACAAGTTATAAATTCGAACCCGAGACCCCAGGATTACAAGGCCAGCGTTCTAACCGCTAGACCAGGAAAAATGTTGGACTCCCCTGATTTAAGGTAATGTCCCACAGGGAATGAATAAAACCATGAAATAGCGGGCCCCAGGCAGAAATTCAAAACGAGGACATTTCTAAGACGAGCCACGTTCGGCTTACCCAAGTTTTCCATCGTCAGGTTTCAGATTAAGAAGGCCACTAAATGTGGAAGCCATCAGAGAATATATTAAATAAGAAGGCGCGGAGAGCTGAAAAGGGAATATTTCCGCTTGGAGGTCCATCTGATGGGTTATGAATTAAAGAAAAACATCACGAAAGGTTACACAGGGCCTCAGAGTTGGATGGATTCTTTGGAACAAAACAAGCAATGACTAAGAATGGAAACCAATGGCGGATTCTTCTAAACACGGCAATGGATATCCACTGTCAAGGAGAGGCGGAAAATGTCTTAGCCAGATGAGAAACTATCAGCTTCTTAAGAAGGATTGTTCGCGATGACGTTAGTATGTTATTGTCATTGAGCGAAGTGCTACAAAACGCTTGCAATCATAAGCTTAAAACACCTGAAAAGCTATGGACTGTTATTAAACGAAAAAGTTAAAATAAACATTTCACTACTCGCGATGAGGTAACGGAGTTGTCAACTGATCACGTGTCCTGATTACGTTTAGGGGCCTACAAAATGGAAATGCGACCGATCGAAGCGCCTCGCACCGGGAAGAATCTGAATCAATTTCCTCGTTTCCGGTTGCTTTGTTCCTTCCCTTCCCACCTCACACCCATCCTACCAATCATAACCTAACTTATATCTTTAACATCTATTACGAACTTGTGAGATCTTACGAAGTCTTGTCTCATGCATGGACAACTTCTCGTTACCAACATAACGGCGGAATAACTATTAAATATCCCATCTGATCCAAAGTAAATGTCAGTTTAGAAGGTAAAGTTTGATTCGAATTTGTTTTCAACGAACAGTAAAGTGGTATAAACTTATCAGTTGATTCTGTAACCCTTTCGTCACACAATGACGAGTTTGTTAAGCAGTCTCCTCGTTGGCACAAGCAACACAAATCAATTTACTTCATTATAATGTATCGTTATTCTCTCATTACAAACTGTTTAAATTGATGGGCTTTGGATGAAACGATGTAATAAATATTTACAAACAGAACTAAATATGAAATACGCTAAACAAGTTTGATGTCACACACGATCATCTTCATTGTAATAGGATTCTGTCATTTAGGGACTTGTGCACTGCCTACTGTCCACAGACCAGGAGAAAAACCCTGCAAGGGGAAATCGTTTCTGGTGCGGTGCGGGGGGAATGTTTACTGCCTGGTGGACTAGAGGGCTGCTATTGGTGGGAAGTGTGATACGTCAGAGGTTTACTCTACTACACAGACTGAAAACATCAAGCAGTTAAGAGTAGCGTGTAGTGAGCGCACCTCTAATGTGTTCTGTGGGTGTTGCGATAATATTCTAGATTAAATCGCTGTGCCTCTGTGAGGTAATCTTAAAGCTGTACCCATTAGAGCACGTGAAAGCCTGTCGTCTGTTGTTCGTTCAGTGGTTGTGGAACGAATGCTTTTAGGATGGGCCGTCACTCACCGCGAAATCTTGCGCATGCGCGTATATCGAATTCCTAGCAGGGATTTTCTACTGATCTGTGGACTGAGTAGGTATCTGTCATTGCTGATTTTTTGTAGATGAACGTAGATAGTATGTGGTAAGTCTACATATTTAACGCTGCTGTGTAGATTCTTTGGAATTATGCCACAATGGAACAATGTACTGTCTGTGTCTCATTTACTTTATAATTTCTGTCAGGGTCATTTATTTTGCTCAATTTTTCTACACCTGTTACTGATGGCATTTTCCCAGGGGCAAAGTTGACCACAGATTTTCAATTTCCAAGCTTAAAAATGTGTGGATCAGTACTGCAACTCTCTCATATGACGTAAGGGTGTTCAATCTTGTCTTAACTTGTGTTCGTGTATCACAAAGGAGGCGTCTCTCCTGATGTTATATACAATACCGAAAGCTTCCAAGATGGTGTTGGCCTCCAGAATCTGCTGTTCCACCCAAGTGCTGACGTTGCTGGTGACCGAACACAGGTACTGCAGAATGAACTTCGTTGTTTCCGTCTTCCCCGCCCCACTTTCCCCCGAGATGACGCATGACTGGTTGCAGTTGTCTGACGCCTGGAGCGACTTGTAAGCCGCCTCGGCTAAAGCAAACACGTGAGGCTCCAGGGCTCCCATCTTCTGTCCATGGTAACGAAATACGTATTCCTGGAAACAAGAAATAGAAAATAAAATTCGAGTTTTAATGTCGTAAGAAACTGCCTCACGCAACTTTAGAAACGTCTTCTGGGTTGCAACGCCGTGTATGTAGTCTGGCGGAAGTTCATGGAGTCTCATTGCCGTGATGATTGAGGCAGCAAGCATGTCTGAAACGTCGGTAAATTCCACGTTTTTTATGGAACGATGTTCATGGGTCCTCCTAACCTGAGCCAGTCAATATCGGAAAATCTATGAAAATTGAAATATTCCAAGAAGAAAAAGAATACACACTCTTTATTCCGTATCCCCTCACTCCACCGCTCAAAGATTCATTCACCTTCAATCCAATTACATCCTACAATCAACTCAAACCTTAAATTTCAGCACAAAATTAAATAAACCCTTCCTTGAATTCCTCAACCCCAGTGAGATTTATCTAATCCCCTGATGAACTGTGGGAAGTCTGAATTACATCGCGGTACTCAAGAGGTCTCTGAGCTCAGGAACGGGAAAAGGGAAATGTAGGATGTGAACTAGACTAAAAGGCGAAGTTCTTTGCAATTTTTCAGACCTTATATATTAATATTACTATTATCGAAGTCCTCTGAATTATTATCATTAGCCCCTATCTCCGAATTGTACATTTGTAAAGCAATTCGACGTCTAAGACCATCTAAATCTGTCAAACTTGATGACATCCCTAGCTTTGTTATAAAGGGTTGTTCTGAGGTCTTTGTTCCTGTTCTCAAACACATCTTTAATTTAAGTCTAACGCAGAATTGTTTCCTTATTTTATGTAAACAGGCAGCAATACTTCATTTTCTTAAAAAAGGTAACTACCGACCTATTTCTACACTTAAAACTTTCTCCAAATTATTTTGAACTTGTTATTTATAATCACGTCTCACATTACGTAAAGGTTTCACAAAATCTAATCTAACTAATCTCGTAGCCTATCAAGATTTTATTAACCCAATAGTTGGCTCCGAGGGTCAATCTGATGCTATTTTGATCTTAGAACTGCATTTGATCTCTTCTGCTCAAAAATCTAAGTGCCTTAGACTTTTTGGTGGTTATGTAAACCTGTTTCGTAGTTTCTTAAACCAACAGACAATCTCAGATTCGTGTTTCTAGAACTCTTTCAACTTTTCTAGTGTTCTCTGGCGTTAAACAGGGAACGGATGGTTTATGCGATGTAATTAATCATTCCAAATGCCTTATTTTAGCTGATGATATCAAAATTTTTCGTGCCATTAAATCTCCTAAAGACTGCAATGAACTTCAAACTTCAAGTAATTTCCTTCTCGAAAAAACCACTACTATGATCTTTGATTATAAAAATTGTTCAGTCCTCTATAACACGTACCGATACCATTAAAGACCTGAGAATATTTATCGACTCTAAGCTCCGATTTCACAAATATGTTGACCACATATTTTCACAGTGTTTTAAGTTGCTGGGTCTTGTTCGCACATTAACATTTTCGTTCTGTTATCTCGACTGCTTTCATACGTTATAATTTACCTCAGTTAGATCCAAACTCAAGTATTCTATTACGACTACTGATGCCAAAACTGGAACGTATCCAGGTACTATCCTTTCCTCCCCCAAGTGCATTACAGCTACGATGATGCTTTAGAGCAGGGGTTCTCAACTATTTTCGCTGGCGTACCACTAATTCTAATTTAACACATTAAATGTACCACTAACCAAATATGTTCATGGAAAACTTGATGCCTGCCCTCAGTGGCGTAACAAAGGTTTCGCGGTCACCACAAGTGTACGTACTTCAATGAGAAATAGTTTCTCTCTTTAACTGCATTTACTGACAGAAAAACTACATAAAATATACTTAAGTTGATATTATTGCGTCATATTGTGAATTAAAATTTAATTATTAGTGTTTTTTCCCCGTCTAATCACAATTGTATATAAATAAAATTATACATAAGATATTAATATATCATACCAAATATGTAAATGATATTTTAATATCTTATGTATAATTTTATTTATATACAATTGTGATTAGACGGAAAAAAAACACTAATAATAAAATATACTGAAATGTATGTGCAAAATAAGACTCCATTAGTGAATAGTTTAGTAACTACTCATATGACCATTTCATATCGCATAAAAAGTCTATTTTCGGATACATAACAGACAAATTTAGGCTTCAGTGGTACGCGTACCATAGGTTGATAAAAGCTGCTTTAGAGTACAGGTAGGTCTCGGTTTACGATACTTCACTTTCGCGATTAAATACAGTCCTTCTACTAATTTTGTCAGCACGGACTTGAACATATTCGAGACACTTCATCACATTCTACAATAGACTAATTTATTAATTTATGTACATTATTACTACAAATATATTAATGTATTTAGTATAAATTGTAACACGGTTATGAACCAATGGTCCCACGAAACGCTGAGACATCTTAACTAGACGATCTGCCCTCGACATTTCAAGGAAGACCCGCGATGAGTTCAGACCGAGCTGAACTGAACTATGAAAGTCGGGCCTGTAGTTGTCCGTGAGGTCACACGCTAAGTGGGCCGAGTGCGTGACTGACCTCCCACTGTACGCACGCACGTTCGTGTGTGTGTGAGCGTCACCATTTTCTCCAAACGCACAGCCGAAACACGGAAATCATCTCACTCATAGAGAAATTAAAATAAAATTAATTAAATGATTTGATTAAACTCCAACAAAAAATAACAAGATGGTGCATGGTCTTTACTAATACACTGATAGTTACTCAGCTGGTTAAGATATTAATTACACGGCTCCTGAGAAAATTTCCTCCAGTCCATTCACCTACACCCAACGTTTGTAATATCCATTTTAATATTATCCTCTCCGTCTTTTCGCTTGAGGCTACTTCCTATCTCTTAAACTTCGATTATAAAACACTTTGTTTTTTAAACATTCTCAGTCTATTTTATACTCTTACGGAGAGAGACAAATTTCCATATCTATATGAAACAGGTTGGCCTAAAACTTTTCGTATATTTTGAGTTTTTCGTATATTTTGAGTCTTTTAGATTACACAAAACAGTAATTTTGCTACTGTGTACGGGTGTGAAACTTTGTCGCTTACTTTGAGAACAAAGTTCTGCGAAAAATGTTTTGTCTTCAACAAATGTTTTATTTGCGACAATATCAACAGCTCAGATTACACACCGCTGAATACTTGTATAATAAATGAGCAATGAAATGCAGAGGATGTGTAAGGAAGTGGTCGTGGCCGAGCTTCAGGTATTACCTCATCATTTGTTTGGAGGGGCTAAGAGAAACCACGACAACACAAAATTATGCAAATTCCGATCCAAACAGGTCGCCTAAAACTGAAATGAAGACAGTTCACACTCACACATCCTAGTTCTTACAGATTAATTTTAATGTTATCCTTCGATCTAGTTAAAAATCTCTTCTTTTCAAGATTTCAGGCTGAAAGTGAATTCAAAGTTTGACACCGTGAAGGCGGTTAAGAACTGTTATCACCCTTCGGAGGAACGTAACGCCTCAAGTTTCAGAGTTGAAGTAATATATTAAAAAAATACTGATATCTAATTTTCTGTTTCAGTTTTAGTAAAACTCAATGAACAATTATTAAAGTTCGAACGCAAAGATTAGGCTAACAACAGATTAAATTTGTAATAAATGAACGTCGAGACCAGAGAGAAATGTGAAATTACAAGAACGCAATTGGAAAATTTCTACGCTCCTATACACAGGAGCTCAGTTAGGATCTGTGCAGAACGACCACTTCAGAAGGTTCTTATTGTCTAATCATCCATTTCCTTCGCTGACATTTGAAGTTTTGACTTAAAAAGTGTTAACATTTACAAAGCAGACAGACAGTGTCAGCCACGAAAAAATGGTCGTTGAGTTAAAGATGACCATCTTCTGGAATGTTGCGACGCGAAGCATAGTAGAAACCGACGTTTCAGAAGTGTTTACAGCTTCCATCATCAGGGCGACACACGATATCCTACATGTTAGGTTGACACTGACTGCTTCGTTAGAAAATACGTAAAATTCTTTTAACGTCTAAAGTAATTTGTTCAGTGTAAAGTTATTTTGTACATCATGAAGTTGTGTGGGAAGCTGGAGGCCGTCTTTACCACGTCAAGAAAACTTCTGTTCTCCGTTAAGCCTCGTAACAAACCGGTATAAAACATTCCTCGATGTCACGGGCGATTATAACTTGAATAAAATGTCTTTCCTCAAAGAGAAAGGAGCTTCAGTAGACTTTACGGTCACGACGGCTTCAAGAACGCTTCGGCCAATAGTAAATAACCTAAATATTTGGTATTGTAAGGTCATATAAAATGCGATTTCCGTATTTAGTCGCATAAGAGATTGGACAGTAGACCGTGTTAAAGCAGACCTAACGCCCAGCGACACAGAAAACCAGTGGCAATAGCAGGAACTAGTCACCAAATACAACAAACTCCCGATATCCGGTCAATCAACGCGTGGGTGTGTCATAAACGAGGCTTCACCGAGGCAGACATCCGCGGTGTCTCGAAATTTTCCGCGCCTCGTATCACAAATTCCTCTGCACAGTTCAATCATGGAAACAGAAAGAAAGGAAAATAAGGGAGAAGGAAATGAAACAAAAGACAGATGAAAACATTATGAATATCGATATTGTAATCGATTCATCATATACCGATAATCGATTAATCTGATAATTAATCGGTTAATGAAATTGAACTTTAAACGAAAAATATAAATTATTCAGTTACATTAAATTCGACAGTCAATGCAGTCCCCCACGTGGGGTCCGCTACATCAGATGCAGACTGACTCAGAAGGCGTGGCTTGTACTGCAGCTGATATTGATCTGTTCCCTTACAAGACGCTTGAAGGCACTGCCCACGCTGGGATTTAATCTTAGTGCACGGATTTCGGTTGTCACGGAGATCTTAGTAACTGCAGTGTCGTTTGCAAGTGCAGAGATGACGTGGTTCGTCGTGTCGTAAGTAGCGACTG